CGCCCTCTAGCGGCAGCCGCCCGCTCCTGCACCACGGCACCCGCGGCCCCTGCGCTGCTCCGAGGGACCCGCAGCGGCCCCAGCGGATGGAACCCACTGCGGGTAAATAAGGCCTAAAGAAGTAAATTAATCAAGCAGGGCGTCGCTGACACAGGTAGATGCTAACATCTAACTGATGAGGGAGCGCTAGCATTGCCACTGCCGAGAGCCCGTGAGCATTCGCTTTTAAACAGCCTGGCACAACACAGCTGGGTGTCTCAGAAAGCCTGCGTTAATGGCTATTTCTTAAGAAAATGTTTTCTGAATATAGATCTGTCCTTGCAAAGCATCTGAGTAGAAGAATAAAAAAAATTTAAAAAAAAAAATAAAATGTGTGTCTCGCATCACGCAGTAGCTTTTGCAACTTCTACCTGCTATAGAATCAGAACTGCAAGCAGGGCTCATTGAAACCAAAAGCAGGGCTTGAGAAGTCAGTCAGAAGAGTAGGAACTGCATGAAGTGAGCGCTCTCCCTGTTGTGGGCTATTTACTGCGCTGCCAGGACGCATCCTCAGTGGCAGAACTGTTCCAGCGCAGTGCCACAGGGCACAGGCCCCAGCGCTGACGCACTGAGCTGCTCCTGGCAGGCAGCCCCTGGCCAGTGCTGGGGGCAGAGCTCTGCGAGCAGGGAGTGCCACGGGGGTGGCTGTGATGTGCGTGCCCCTCTGCCCAGCTGGACAAACCCCCCACAGAACAGCAGACACTGCTCGTGTGAAAAAGGCCCAACACCATTTTTACAAAATGCATCAAATGGTTCTGCACTCAGGCTGAGTGCTTGGCAAGAAGGTATCAGGTTGCTAGAAACTGTTCACAGCATTGCCTATTTAGTTCTCTGACCACCAGAAAATCTAATTTTCTCAAAACTAGATCCAAAATCCCTGGAACATCAATATACACATACAGTTATCATGGACAGGAAAAGAGTTTTAAGAAGAGTAATTTCAACAAGTTTAGAATTTCTACCAACACATCAAAGACACTCTTACAATGCTGGAGATTTACTGGTGAGAACATGACTTAAAACATTCAAGGAGTGTCAATAATCAGGGCTTTTTCTTAATATATTTTTGAGTAATAGTTAAAATGTCAGCTGGTAAAGCTGTTTCAATTTCCATTCAAAGCCAGAAGATAGGTACCCCCTAAGGGCACATACAAGAGCATTGCTGGGAGTGGCAGTTCTGGCATGTCAGGCCTGCCGTGCCCCCAGGTCAGCACCCTCCCATCCAGGTGGGGCACTTTGTGGCTGAGGCAGGAGGCAGCAAGTTCCTCGAGTGTTCCTGTCTTACACCACCAGGAAGTCACAGCCAGTTACACAGGCTGGGGTTGCAAAACTTACCATTTGGGGTCCAACATTCACATTGATTGGTCCCAAGGTTTTTGGCAAAATCTTAGTCGGAGAGTTGGTGCTGGAAACTGGCAATGCGATTACTGAAATATTACCTAAAAAGGGCGGTAAAAGGACAGTTTTAAATTACTTCCTTAGTAACCTGTGGAAAACGCTTTGGCAAATTCTCACACAATTCTAGCATTTTGGAATTGGCTTTGTTGTCTCATCTGCTGCGAACACACCATCATGTAACCTCCAGACCTCTCAGCAGATGTCACATGGACATCTCACAAAACTACACCTTCACTATTTTACTTTCAAAATGGCATGTATTTTATTTCCAGAAACAATTCATTCTTGCTTAAGACAAAGAGCACACAGCCTGACATTCCTCATCATTAGCAGTGAAAATAATGAGAATACTTTTAAAAGAAGCCAACATACAAATCCTATTTACAATCTTAATCACATTTACAAAATATGAATCCATAAACCTCCAAAGCCTTAACCATTCCTCATCTGACTGTCCCAGAGCGTTCCAGTCATTGATGATGTAAGCCAACCACAGCCTGTCACTGTACAGATGGAGAAAGTGATGCCGTTACAACTCATCTGTGACCAAAGTCACAGAGCAGGCAGCTGGATGTCACAATAAAATCTCCCATGCCATCTCCAATGTAGTGTGTTCCCATCCCAAGATGTTTATCACCTTTGTGATCCCAAACTGCTCATGGACCTAAGTCATCCTGTCTACCAGAGAAGGGCAGCTCTGTGTGGGGGCTGATAGCCCCAAAATACTGCTGCTCCTCCTCTATCCCAAATTGCATATTGTATCTCAATTATTTGGAATTAATATTTAAATCAAAACTGTTGCAGCACCACCACTACCCCCCGAGTGTTCAAACTGTTGTGCACAAGCCTCTCAAAGCCCTGAGCACGCACTGTGGTGGCAGCAGCTCCTTTCTCTGTGACAGCTTCAAAGCAGGAGAGCTGGGATCAATCAAACACCAGCCCCCTTCCTACAACAGCCTGATCCAGTGTGGGGAGGGATGGGCTCTGAGGCACAACCAAATATAAGGAAGAGCTGCCGCTGCCTGATAATCCAGAATCAGCCTGGGTCTAGCTGGGGTCATGAGGACAAGGATTGGTTCCTGGAGAGCTACTAATGTTCTCTGGCACTGCAGACCACAGCTGAAGGCATCTGAGGTGACAGGTCCCTTCAGAGCAGCACAGGCACCAAGCCCTCCTCCCACAGGAGCCAGTCAAGACTCAGCTTAGCCCACATGGCCCAAGCTGACTCAGTGGTGTTACACATCTCTGTTCCCCTGTCTCTGTTCACATCACCTCTTCATCTCCACTGCCCAATTTTATTTTCTCACTTGGTCCTGAATCACGGTGTTGTTTTCTACATTTTATTTTAGGATACCTATGTTTTCCATTAGGTTACTGAAAAATGATAAATTCAACAAAGTAACTTCTGTGCAACAGGAAGCAGAGGCAACACAAGTGAGAGAAAAAAGATCTTATCTTCTGTAGTTACAGCACAAAAGTAGAAAATATGTAGATTTATGCTAAGTCTCACCTTCTCACCTGAATAAGAAATATTTGACAGATATATGATATATGAGAAATACAAACAAATTGAGACTAGGATGTTCCAATGTTCTGTATTGTAATGTTAAGTTGTAATGTTAAAATTATAATGTTATGTTTTGTATAGCTTCTGTTGGCATATGCAGTAATACTACTACATAATATTAATTTTCCAAAAGGCAAATCTGTGTCTGAAAACATCTTCAGAAGCAGCTTGCATCTCTGCTCAATAAAATGAATGAATTATTCAGTCATGTAACTCACCTAGAAAAACAAATATAAACCTCCTACACTTGCAAACCCACCTGCCCAGTAAATCTTTGCTCTGTTATGAAACACCTTTTGTGAGGTAGTGCCAGAGAGCACAAGACAGTAATTCATGATTTACATACACTGTGTTCCCATGCTGAGCCCAAAATAGCTCTCTTAATAGAGAACAGTTTCCAGTTTTACTTTTGCTAGAGGATTCTGCCCAGGATTTCCCAAGCTGTGACAGCATATTCCATCAAAACCTAGTCTCTCCCCTCATTCCAGGCTTTTGCCATCAATGATGTGTCACTTCCCAGTACTGCTGTAGGAATTTTCCTCTTTTCTGCTGCATCTGAAACTTTTGATCCCATTATCTCCAATTCTCATACTATTTCTCCTTGCCCCTTTTCTTACCAGGGAAAAGAAAAATTACTTTCTCTGGTGCTGTCAGCGTAAGGTCACATGGCCAAGTACAGTAAAATTGTAGAATGTTGGGTTTGGCTCCCAGCTCTTTTACCACAGGGCTACAGCACAGAGCTGTCTCCAGCGGCACTTCCCAGCCTGCAAGGGGCACTGGGCTGCCACATTTGTCTGTGCCAGCGTGGCCACGTGGGGCTCCCAGCACTGGGCAATGAGCACAGCAGCACGGCCAATGCACACAGCCACCACCTCCAGCACTGGGCACGGCTTGCTTCCTTCTCAGCCTGCGCCACGCAGACTGGGATCCAGGGGATCCAGCTGCACCTGTGATTGCTTTGAACATTTGTATGGATGTACTTCTCTCATACACATGTGCAGACCCATGACCAAAGCCACACAAACCCACCAGATTTACTGAGCAGGCCTGGAAAAACCACTAGTAAACCACTAATTAGCAGCTACTGCTGCACTGGGCCCTCATTTACAAGGCTCCCTGGAAAAAGGAATACAGGCACCATTGGGGTAAATACAAGGGTCATTCAAATGACTTGATCTTGATTTTAAAAAGATATTTGCTTACAAATGGTGTGTGTTCAAATGTCAATAAAAAATATTTTAACCTTCTAATCCCTGCACAAATACCTCATTTGGCAGCAGTGTTGTCAAAACAATCTTAAGAGTTGACCAAGATTTCATAGAAATGTTTCCTTATCCTTGTTCTTACTTTCAATTTTCTTCATTGGCAAATATAAATATGTGAAAGTGTAGATTTTTAAATACAGATAGGATGAAAAAGAACCAGTTTGTTTTTATGAGTGAGGTATTTCTTATTCACAGTGGCCAAAAAGAAAGAAGAACCAAATTTTTCACAGTAAGAGGTTGCTCTTCGTGTTTGTCAGTAGTTGAAAAAATAGTAAACAGAAAGTTTTACTAATTACAACTAAAATATTCCTCCCTACCATTTTCTTTTTCTCCCAATAGCATCATGGTCCAGATACTCATGTGACTTCAATTGCTTCAAATATTATTATATAATTATATTATTATTACATTATTATATTTAGGAGAAAGTAGATGTGACAAAACATTCAACAGATTTCTGTATTCAGCTGAAAGCAGAAATCTCATCAAAGTAACTATATATACTATCCTAAAGCAACTGCAGTAATCTCACTGCATGGATGGAAAAGGTCAGCACAGATGGATCAAACTGGAATGATTTGTATAATAATACTCAATTCTTATATAATGTTTCTCAGCAGTACTTTCAAGGCACAAAGGAGGTCAGCATCATTATTCCCCTTTACCTATGGAAATCCAAGCACATGGGAAAGAAACCCACTTAAAACTCTCATAGGGAGGCTTTAACTGCAATGCACAGAAAGCCATCCCAAACTGAGCCTCCTTGGCACTGAAGCAAATTCAGAATAACAATCTTGCAGTGGATATATGTATGTTTCTCTCAGAACAAAAAGCACTTTGCTTCTACATAAATTATTTTTCCATCCTTCAGTCACCACTATTGTTGCTTCTCAGAGAGAGAAACCAGTGTTGCTATAATTTCTTATTTTAAAAAACCATCATCACTACATGACTATTATTCTTCCTGGCATTTGTGCAATAATTTTACTGGTGCACAAAAATAAAAATTCAGTTTAAATGATCTACAGCCTCAAGCAGTCACAGATAAAGTTATTCATGTTTATGTACATGTATGCTCACATGCACACACTAAGAAGCTCACCAAATCAGTTTAAATCATTATGTGCCACCCTAAATAGCTTAATTGCACATAAACATGCACTCCTATACACAAATACAAAACTAAAGAGATTCTAGTGATTTTTTTTCCCTGTATAACTAAATCTGTTAGGTCTGCAGCTTAGTTGCAAAGATAATCAGAAACAATGTCAACTGGAGAATCTATAGAATCTGTCACAGCCAGTTTGAAGGAGACCATGGCTGATGGGGAGCACAGCCCAACCAGCTGGGGTTACACACAATGCATACATCAACAAAAAAAGCCATTGAATTTTCAAACAAAACACCAGGGAAGTGTTGGTAATTTGGATTTCATATTCAGAGCTCTAAACAAATGTCCACTTTCATAAAGTGTCTCAATGAACAGCCATTTTTAATAATACAGCCTACAGCTTGATGATGATGGCAGAAACCCCAGCTCAGAGTTGTGAGATATCAGCATCCCTTTAGGATATTTTGCAACAACATATGTGATGTGTCCTCAGGGTCCTCTATTACACTAAGACATTTACTTATCTCCAAGATCAGTACCATTAGAGCATGTAGAAAATCTGAATTATTACCACGTTCTTAGTACACATGTATTTTCTTGGTACATTTCTTAATTTGTGCTTTGCACAAAATTACTGGTTTACAAACCTAGCTTCAAAAATCCCATAGAGATGAAATCAAAGAGATCTGTAGAAAAGAAAAAATAAAATGGGGCAGACAGTTTTTCAATGTACTTCAGGCTTATACAGAGCAGTACAATTTCAGTCTTTTACTGTCCAATTTGAGACAAATCTACACAAGTTAACAGCTGTATGAATCTGAAGGTACCAGGCACAGGCCTATGGATAACTGCTTCTGATGTCTTGCTCATTTTAGCAGATCTCTTCAAGCAGTACTACTACTACAGCAGCGCTGTGCACTAAGTTTTTAAAACAGCAACTCCAACAAATCAGGGACCCTTGGGACTCTAAGCTGGCACAGAGCCCTGAAAGCTGCACACATCCCTGTGCATGCACAGGTTTTATGGGGCAAGGGTAACACAGACCCACCTTCTGCTTGGGATCACCGGGAAAAGAGTTTGATTTTCCATTGTTGTAATAGATGTGAACAGGAAAACTTCAAAACTTTGTTACAAAACTTCAAGCATGTAATTTAGTGACTGGGAGTGTCTCCCAAACAGATTAACTTTTAAATCCTCATGGTTACACCTGAAACTTTTTATCATGAACTCTACAGCAGGTCTAGTACAATTCATCACAGCTTGCAACCATTACCCCAAACCAAAGCAGAGTTACCACTATCCAACTCATTCACAAACCAAATTACACCTGCTGAGGACTAACTTGAACTATTCTATTGAAACAACTTAATTAAATGCGCCAACTCCACAGAGGCATTTTGCCACTTAAACCAGAATTTTGCATGAATGTTGAATGCAGTTCCTTAGTTCCAGTCAATCAACCTTATTGGACATCTATTGTTGACAAGTTCTGTCAACACCCAGGAGAACATCAGTCTTGATAGCATGGATCCTCCCAGGAGTATCTCTCAACAGGCACAATTCATGATGGAAAACTAGGAGAATACCTGACACATACATACAGATCTATCCCCAAGGCTATAAACAGCCATCTGTGTTCTACAAAACTTGAGAGGAAGCATCTCTTTTACATTCAGCAACCCAAGAATATTCATTTACTAAACAGTGAGAAGTAAAATTAAAATGCAGGTCTCCTAGAGGAACAATTTCAATCACTAGTAATTTCAGGTATGGAAATGAAGCACAGCCAGC